GTTTTAAGGATAAAAGTAAAAAAATTAATAAATAAAATAATATATTCAAATTTTAATTAAACATATGTTAATAATATTAAATACTAATATACTATTTAGTTTAGATTTCTTAAGTATTATACTTAAACAATCATTAGTAAACTTAAATGATAATTATTGAAGTAAAGGCAGGGAATAAATAATTTATGAAAAAGTTGTACTCTTGAAATTGGTAGGGTACGTTGTGTGATGTATTAGATATTCTACCAATCAACAAAATTTAGATTACTAATTAATAATTTAAACTTAGTCCCTTTCGTTTAACGAGTTGAAAGTTGCATGCATATAAATTAAAGTCCCACCCATCAACACAAAAAACAAAATCTGTGTAAAGTTGTAGTAATTAGGAGGAATCTTTTAATGTTTATTTAATGAATTGCCGTATGAAATGAAATAGATGACACCTTTCTTGCACGGAATCAAACATAAATTAACATTCCACTCATTAAAAATAATTTTGCAACAATCTAAATTCAAATTTTTTACGGTACGTTTAATGATAATACGTAGAGTTTGGATAAACTTTTTAATAAATATTTAAACGTATAAAAATTTAGTAAGAAAATTAATTTATTTGTTTTTTAAAAATTAATTAAACCTGGTATTTAGATTCTTTATTATTTTTCATTCGTATAATTATAGATATCTAATAATGAAAAGAAAATGTTAAAAAATTCCAAACACAAAGTGGAATTTAACAAGAGAAAATAATTACGTAACTCTTTCTTATTCAGAAAATGTTAAGAAAATCCAGTGTCACAATTAAAACACACTTTCACATTTTACGTTAAGATATTATATTTGTGCAAATAATAATATAAACATCACTCACTGGTATCGTATGATTTCGAAATCATGGTATATATTTATATATAATATAATTTTTTTGTATATACATGTGTGAGTTTATTATTAAAGATGTTTTATATATAAAAAAACTTGAATCTAATATCATACTTAAATAATATCAAAACATTTACCACTCAGATCAACCTTAAATTGATATTTGAAGCGTATTTTAATATTTTAAAACCAACATACACGTCCCTTGGAATAGAAAATTGGTTTAAATGTGTCGTAATTTGGCAACGATCATTTTCATTTGTAGTCTGAGTTTGGACGTTAAATAAAGTTACATCTAACATCTAAGACAAAAGATGCAAATTCAAAGAACGCATACAAAGTGTTCATACTTGGGTGAAGTGAGAATTATACAAAGAACCATAGAAACTTGTAATTTTCACGTGATAATATTTACTGTGCTATGAGATTAAAATACATAGACGGACATGGATGGTTTAGTTTTTGTATAAACAATTATAATTATTGCGTCAAATTATTAAACTTTGTATATTTTGATTTCTTAAGGGACTATAGAATTCAAATGAAAAAAGAAACATTAATATGATTTTATATTTAAAAAGAAATAAATATGACTTTTCTTATATTCAAATGAAAGTGTTAATAGATTTACATTTATCATTGTGTGATTATAGAAGATAAATGAATTCATAGTAATCATCTAGAGAATGGTAATGAAGAACATAATACTGTGATGGTGTGTATCCACAAGGTCGTTGATGGAGTTGTGACAATTGGAGAAATGGGTCAATAAGTGAGATGATGATTGTTCTATTCAGTGATGGATGTAAATAAGATTACCATAAAAAGTGTTTCCTGGTGACCGTGGAAATAGGCAAAAATTTGTGGATGGTGATTAGACATTAATGGTTATTCAGTATTGAATTATTGAAGATGATATTGCAAGTCATGTTCATTATGGACATTAGACAATGTATTATAAGTCCTTTCACTCATTTGATTTTTTGGTGAAAAGTGACAATAACACTTGGCAGAGATTCAATTCTTATTGTGTATATGAAAATAATTTTCTTTTTAAATTATTATAAAAAATTCAAACTTAAACATTTACATTATTTAATAAATTTTTATAAAATATAAAATTAATTAATCTAACTATTTTATGTGTATTAAATTTTACATAATTTAAACAGTTAGAAGTATGTTATTTAAAATTTAATATTTTATTATATTTAAAAAATATATTAAATATTAAAATAAAATAATAAAATAAAGTATTTTTTTCATTTTATTTTTACATAAAATTTAATAAAAATAATCTATTTGATCAAAATCTTTTAATTAATAATTTGATTAATTAATGATATTTTATAAAAAATTATTAAATATCTAAATTTGACGCTTAATATTAACAAAAAGTTTAAAATTTTAAGGTGAAGACAAAATTTTTGCATGCAAAGGATTGATAATGTAATTTTATAATAAATTAATAAACATAAAAATAATATTTTTATAGTTATTAGTACGAAAATGTTAGTTAAAAATAACCACAAAAGGTTAGACTCGACATAAGATTTTCACAAAAGTCACTATTAGAACAAAAAATATTCACTTGAATTGATAAAATTAAAAATAGTAATGCTATTATTTTTACTTGTTACAAGTAGTATTTAAAATAAATTAATTTGATAAAATATTTATTAATTTTATAAATTAATTTACTTAATAAAAAATAGTTAATTATATATTTTATATAAAATTATTAAGTAATATAAGTATGTAAATGAATGCAAAATAATTTTAAAACTATTTTTTTATGTGTAATAGTGCTCCTTTCTCCATTTGGGTTTTGGAGTTATGTTTCACAAAGAAAGAAAAATCCCAATTAGGAAAATGCAAGCAATAGAAAAGTGGGGAAGCATATTGTAAAAAATGATCATAATTTTCCAAAGATAGGGAGTAATGATTGAACATTTGGACCATCAAATTTTCCTCTAATGACTCCCTATCATAACACTTATTTTTTTATCATTAAAGTTTGTTTATTTTCATCTAAAGTAATCATTTAGTTTTTAATTTAGTGCTAATTTTCAGAAATTACTGAAAAGGTTTCTACAATCAAAGTTCGAGTTGTTTTATTATTGTTGACTTTTTTTGAGAAAATGATATGCAACGTCATGCTTGTGGATAGCTTATACCACTTGTAATTGCTTTTGGTCTCAAAATATGAATTTTGTGAGCTATAAAATATTTATTCTTGTAAAATTCTATTTAACAAATTATTTTCTCTAATTAAAAATTTATCTTTTACAATTCAATGAAGTTTTAGATTTTTATTTTTGTCTTTACAACTAGTTTTTGTGAATATTTTGATCAAGAGAAGGTATGTGCCTCATCCTCACTTCCCTTTTAACTCTTAAGAATTAACTTTTGAAAAGCCAATTGAAATATTATTAAATTTATAACCACTAATAATTTTATCTTATTTTAAATAAATTTCACATAAATATAAATTTAATTTTTTCTTTTTAATTAATTCTAATAATACATATTTTTTAGTTATTTAATAATTTTTAATTAATTTTATTAAATAACTCTAATTCTATGAGATACTTCTATCAATAATAAATTATAAACTTTCACTTAGTATAAATTATATAAGTTTTTAATTAGTTTTACCAAATATTTAAACCGTGAATTCATCACTTTGTAACAAAAGTTAAATCTTGCATTTGATCCAACTAGAATAGTTGATAAGGGGAATTAAATCGATAAATAACATAAATTATTATTAATAAAATTAGAAAAATAGATTAACATGATTACATTTTAGATTTAATAATAAAAGAATTACTTTACATAATATATATTAACAATTATCATTGGTGTATTAATGAAAGTTAGTTTAAGACATAAGTGTAAGGTTCTTAACTTTAAAAGAGTTATATAGGGTAACCTTATAATTATTTTTTAATATTAGTTAAAACAAATCATGAATGACGTAATTATTACAGTATTTAAAAATCTGAGAAAACATTATATATTTTTCTTAAATTAATAGATATTTTTTAAAATAAAAAATATTTATATTTTTTCTAAATAAACTACTAACTCTTACTATTTATTATAAACATTTAATATAAAATTAATCATAATAATTGTTCTATGTGGGAGAGAGAGAAAAAATAACCTCTTGATTTACACATTAAAGATTACCTAAACTTAATTAGTTTCATAGACTAATTATGGTTTTACCAATATATATATATATATATAAGATAAGTTTAAAAGGTAATGCATTTCTAGCCTAATACATATGAAACCCACTCATATCACGTATTCGTTTGATTTGTTGGTGATTTTTTATTCACTCTCTTATTTTTAATTTTTTAAAATAGGCCCTTCGTAATATTTTTTTTTTAATCAAATAGTTCTCATGTGTTTTTTATTTTTTATCTGATCATTATAAGTATTATAAAATGAGAGACAAAATCAAATACTTATGAGAAAAATAAATAAAAGAAACTATTTTATATAACAAAATATATTTCATAAGAAATTTGTTTTAAAAACTATGATGTAAAAAAATTGTGAATTTTTTTATGGATAAAAATTTAATTAGGCTTTCATCTAAATGTTTATGGGAAAACATTCTTCTAAAAGAATTGGATATCATCAATCTTAAAACATATTTAAAAATTAATTTGTACAATAAATTGGATCATAAAACTTTTTGTTAAGTGAATAATTAATTTGAGCCTACAATACAATGTTGTTTTCTGTCCACATCTTGCTTGCACAACTTAAGCTGTGCTTACGGCAAGGAATTATTGACCTGCCTGTTGTTGTTTTTGTTTATCTATAAAACTAAGAGTTAACATTAAATAAAACTCTTAATATTAATACTTTATCATTTTTTATATTCTAATCCACAGATTCAACAATAATTAACCCCTTAATATAATATTTGTTGTATTAATTAATTAAAATCAACATAAAGTAGATTGTCAGAAGGGATTGCTTGTTACGTTTTTTCTTTACATTATTGTTAAATGACAAGTTGCTCCTAACATTGACTTTACAAACCCCTATAAATAAACAAACAATTCCAACACATCACATTCATATTAGCTTCGCTAATTATAGTCATATGTTTGTTAGTTTGCTCTACCAATCTTTCACTTGAGATTGAGAGTTTCAAACCAAACATAACGTTTTCTATGGCATACCAAAACCCTCCTTCGATTACAATCTCAGATCCTGAAGCACAGGAAATTACTCCTACTGCTGCTGCTGCTGCTACCACCTCACAAGCCAATGGGTTCACAGCCAAAGTGGTAGTGAACAAAGTGAAAACCAACTTGGTTTTTCATTCAAAATGGGGTGAACTTAATGGTGCCATGGGTGATCTTGGCACCTATATACCAATAATTTTGGCCTTGACTCTTGCTAGGGACCTCAACCTTGGCACCACATTGATATTTACTGGTGTGTATAATATCATAACTGGTACCATTTATGGGGTCCCTATGCCGGTCCAGCCCATGAAGTCCATTGCCGCCGAAGCCTTGTCTGATACAGGCTTCGGCGTGCCGGAGATCATGGCTGCCGGTATACTAACCGGCGGCACGTTGTTTGTTTTGGGTGTGACAGGGTTGATGCAGCTTGTGTACAAGTTGATTCCTTTGAGTGTTGTGAGGGGGATTCAACTAGCACAAGGTTTGTCATTTGCTTTAACAGCGGTTAAGTATGTGAGGAACAATCAAGACTTGCCAAAGTCTAAGTCTTCGGGTTCTAGGCATTGGTTTGGGTTGGATGGGTTGGTTTTGGCCATTGTTTGTTTGTGTTTTATTGTGATTGTGAATGGGGCTGGTGAGAAGAATCGTGGGTGTTGTGCTGTTGTGGAAAGAGGTGATGATTTGGGTGAACAAAAGGATGTTGAGAGTGAAAGAAACAGGACAAGCAGGGTGAGAAAGATCATTTTCTCACTACCTTCTGCTTTTATTGTGTTTGTGGTGGGTGTGGTCTTGGCCTTCATAAGAAGGCATCAAGTGGTGCATGAAATCAAGTTTGGACCTTCCTCTATAGAAGTGGTGAAGTTCTCTAAGCATGCATGGAAGAGAGGTTTTGTGAAGGGTACAATTCCCCAACTTCCATTGTCAATTTTGAACTCTGTAATAGCGGTTTGCAAATTGTCATCAGATTTGTTCCCAGGAAAGGATTTTTCAGCCACTTCATTGTCAGTGACAGTGGGGTTGATGAATTTGGTTGGTTGTTGGTTTGGTGCAATGCCATGTTGCCATGGTGCTGGTGGACTTGCAGGGCAATACAAATTTGGTGGTAGGAGTGGTGGGTGTGTGGCACTTCTTGGTGCTGCCAAATTGGTGTTGGGTTTAGTGTTGGGAACTTCTTTGGCACACATTTTACAGCAGTTTCCTGTGGGGATCTTAGGTGTGTTGCTGCTATTTGCTGGAATTGAATTAGCCATGTGTGCTAGGGACATGAATACTAAAGAAGATTCCTTTGTGGCGCTTATTTGCACCTCAGTTTCACTTGTGGGATCAAGTGCAGCTCTTGGCTTTTTGTGTGGAATGATTGCTTATGTGCTTCTTAAGCTAAGGAATTGGACAATGGATAAACCACTTTCTACCATTTGGATGCAGAAAAGCCCGGAGCAAGCATGAAGAAAGGGTGTAAATATATTTATATTTGCTATATTGCATGCATATCTAGTGCTCTTAATTTGTCTGTAAATAAGTCAATAGTAATGCTTTTATTTTATTTTTTTTCTTCTTGAATTTAGTTGGTACTTGATACCGAATAGGGGGTTGAAGGGGTTTATAGTAGTCTTAATAGTAATGAGTGTGGACCAAAATTTGCAGGAACTTGAACAGTTGTTGCATTTGATCTTTGTACTTGGCGTATATAATCATGTACGTAATGTTGGGTATCAATTAATAGAATAAAGTTGATTCAGTTAATAGAATCTCTTATTTGTGTGTGTCTATGCTGAGTTGTGGGTGGATTCTTGAACTCATGAGAGCAATGAACATTAAATGGTCAAAATCAGTACCTTTCCATTATGAGCTAATGTGATGGGTATATGCAAAGCAAATTGTGACTGCAATTTGGGGTTGCTGTGATCATCAGTTGTGACTGCTTTAATGCAGAAACTAGCGATTTTTACCCACATATATATCTATGTGTGAGTGAAATTTATCATCAATTTAACCATTCTACAGAGAAGTTTCTATCGCGTAAGTTATGGTTGTAAAATTTAAGATTAATTTAATTTTGTTAATATTTCATTCATTTATGTCAAAATTATTAACATAATATATACTTTTAAAATATAAAAATTCATTATATTTTTATTTTCAAAATTAAATATAAATAATTAATGCAATAAATAATTAATTCCTAATAGTTAAATCAATAAAAATACTATATATATTTTGTTATGAGTCACACTATTATCTAATTAACAATTTTATATAAAAAATAATTTTATTAGTTTAACTGCTGAGTTATTATTATATATTATCTTAAATATTTATGTCAATTTTTATTAAAATAAAATAATTATAAAAATATAATTAAATGATTTTTAATTCGAATAAGATTGTCTCTTACAGAAAATACATATGGTCTAAATTAAAAAGTCTATATAAATTTAATTTTAATATATGTGGATAGGATAACAAATAATATTGAACTAATATAAAATTATGTAATGGTCGAAATGATTGAAACTTTTAATTTAAAGATAAAATTTTAAGATTAAGTTATTTAATAAAAAATTATTAAACAATGTGAAAGTAAATATAACTTCTGTCAATGTAATTTGATTTGTTTTCATAAAATAATAATATATAAAAATAAATTTAAGTAAAGAATAAAGACTCTTGAGATATTATATTCATAATAAATTACATAAAATAATTATAAACATTTTTAATAAAAATTATAATTTTTTAATAATTTTGTACCATTTTGTATTTAAAAATGATTTAATAATATTAAATTATGATTTATAAATAAAATTATTTACAGGAATAATTTAATTTAATTTTTTATATAATTTTTTCATTATTTGAGATTTTTTTGACAATTCTTCTGTTAACATTTTCTGTTGGATTTGTATAATAATATTTTCTTGTTTATATTTGTTGTCCAATTTTTTATTATCCACTCTTAATTTTGTAATATAATTTTTTCTACAATTTTTAATTAATTTTTTCTACAATATTTTTCAGTTTCAATAATTTTATTATAAATAACTATATTTGTTGTATAATTACTTATTAAGTTTTATAATGTTTATAATATAATGTTGTTATTTCATGTTTATTATTATTATTATTGTATATACTTTTTTCTATTAAAATTTCATATAATCTCAATGAATAGTTTTATATATTTATAATAAAAACAATTATCATTAAAAAAATTCTGAATAGATATTTTGAGCTGTATATCTTTTTAGAGTTATTATTTTCTTATAACTTAAGTACTGTTATTTAAATGTTATTAGTATTATTTATCAATGAAAATTTTTATTTTAGCAAAATTACTATATTTAATATTATTACAAAATATTAAAATTAAACTTTAATTTTCATTAAAAAATAACACCAACCATATTTATAGAATTATTATATTTTCTTAGAAAAAGTTGAATCATGAGTGAAAATATACAATTTTTATGTAACATTGACAAGGGAGAAAGAAACTTAACCATCATAATTAAGAACTAGTTAATTATTACAAAATTAACATTTTCACTAATCTTGATTAATGAAGTTATTATCCCACAATTTTAATAATATTAACACAATAATATCATACATATTATAGAATCTTGACCAATATTCTTTTAGACATAAAAATGAAGATTTGGTGCTTGAATGAATCTAGTTTGACATGGGCTTGCCGGCCCCTTCTATCCAACAAAAAATGGTGGCATGACTCTATTCCAACTTAAGGGTACTGGTTACCTTTATCATACATTATTGCCTTATTCGGCAGTAAGTGCATTTGAAACCAATTAAGGGCTTCTAAGACAAGATTTAAGCCATAATTATGAGTGGCATAGAGCATAGTTAGTAAGAGCTTCACTTGTTGCTGACATTTTCTCCTTCTCACTGTATATATCGTCATCTACCAAATTATAGAATCACCAAAAATTAACATCATATACTGTTATCTTTAGCTCTTACTTTTATGATTTTATCAATTTTATAAATACCCATCTTGAAAATAAATCACTAATATAAAAGGGATTCATTTAAATATCTATTTTCTGAGTTGTACTACAAATATTTTCCTTAAGCAATAACTCCCTAGGATTTTGAAGTTATATGGACTTGTTTGCGCCTCTGTTCATTTAAGAGGATGACGCTAAGGAAAATTCTTGCACTCTTGGGTTGCAAAGAACAACAAATAATGGTTAAAAAGAATACCTTTTCATTCTGAGGTAATGTGATAGATAACCTTTAGGCCAAAAATCAAAGATTTGGTGCTGAGCTTGTAGTCCCTCTAATGTGCCTTTATCCAACATTAAGTGGTGGCATGACTCTGTTCCAACTTTTGGAATTAGCCCAAAAACAAAACCATACTTGCTATTACTTACAGTGCTGATTTGTTTGTCCTGTTCCATTTTCTATTTCAAATTTCAACTCTTAATTACTATCTGCCACAACATAATAAAAATAGCTTTGTTCTTATGGATTGGATGATAATGGCCAATGATATCAACACCTGTAACAGATTAATTCTTCGACTGCGGTGAATTGTTAATGGAGATTAAACCTTCATAATAACCGTGGCGATTAAAACTTTAGCATTAGCTTAGTCTTGTTTTGCCTCCATATTGCTGGGTCATAGTACGAATTTTTTATGGGTCCATAAGCTTCTTTTTCTTGTTTTTACTACACGGTCCATAATTGCTAAATCAATTAAATTATCAGCTTCTTTTCGTGGGTTGCATAATCTTCATGGGCCACCGTATATCCTTTAACGCCCTTCCTCCTTTATACTTCTAAAATTATTGTTGATTGAATATTGTCTTGGAACTTGTGAAACTAAAACTAATAATATATTTTTTAATGCATTCTTAATTACTAGGTAAAATCTATTAAAAAAAATTATAAAATTTTTTAAAAATATTAATTTATAAATGAAAAAAATAAAATTCACATAATTTTTAATAAAATTTAGCCATTAATAAAAAATATGTTAGAGAATGTTGCTAATAATATTCGTTGCAGCTTTAAAGATATAACTCTAGAATATTCAGGTTATTGACTCTTCCTCGGATTGTTCACGTCAAATTCATTGATGACTCTACACTACAGCTTTTTAATCTAATTAAGAGTTCATTTCCATTCTATTACTCTATGCGCTTAACATTTCTTTTAATCATATTACATTACTGGTCATTGTAAGTGAAAAAAAATTAAATCAGATGTTCGCCCTAGTGACTGGATTGTGCTGCTGCTAACTGTGGTGCACACAACTTTGCTAGCCGCTCAAGCTGCTTCAAGGATGACTTAGCTGGAGGCTATAACAGTGACATCTTGCGCTCTAGAGGTTTTGGTGGCAATGGAAGACCTGGATGGAAGTCTGGTGATATGCAACAGGTTATTGATTTCTTGTTTACTCAGTTTTTAACTATTGGTTTTTCTTGCTGCCTTTGATGTTTGAAGAATATGACATATATAACAAACCAAGGTTATAGGCATGCAACTGATATCTTTATTGGTTCCCCTTTCTTTGACTGCTTTTATAAATTTGCATACTTTGAATGGTTGTCCCCTTTGCTTAGTGATCATAGGTGCAAAATATAGTTCATTTCACTATTTATTTAAATAGGTAAAAGTAAAACAGTAGTCTTTCTCTGTGTTTCTTGTCATGGCAAAATTTTATTTTATTTTATTTTATTTTTCCTTGAGAAGATCAGGATGCAATGAGCACAACTTTGCTAGCAGAATGGAATGTTTTAAATGCAGTGCCCCAAGGGACACGTACTAGAAATGAGATTATCCAAAAAAGAATACTACATTAATCAAGATTTCTTTACTAATTTCTTTGGGATGTTAAAGACAGTGTGAATTCTGAAAAGGGGTTTAAAATGCTATGTTACAGAGAAGCTACATCCCTTAGGATATACCTCAAGAACAACAGCAATGCTGTTTTGGTGCTTTAAACTATTTTCTTTAGTTTTTGTGTTAAGAGTTCATTTATTGTATGGTGCGTGGTTTTCTTAACTGAATATGAATCTCCTGTCTTTTCTCATGAGATGAACCAGTACTTTCTAAACGCATATGTCAGAAGGTGTGATGGAATTATCCATTATTCACCTCACCATCACGGAGTGGACCAGGTTATTTTGTATAAATAGCAGCAACCAAAGTTAGCATGCATCGGGTTCATATGGTACGCCATTTATTACTATTTAGTAACTGAAAAACAAAATGGAACTAGATACATAGAAGTCCACTAAGCAATTTATTTAACAAGGAATAACCTTTTAAACCTTTCAGTTTACCAAGATAATCCTTGAATTAATTTTGAATCAGCATTGCAATTAGTTCAATTCGATTAATAAGGGTAGAAATAAGGAAGACAAAGACCTTTGTCATGTAATTATTAAGTTAAGCATATTTTAAATGGCCAGCATATCAGTCCTAGGGCAGAGTACCCATTACTGAGATATATTCCTTAATGAGTGAAATAAGCAAAAGAAGAAATTTGCTCAAGAAATTTACTTGAAAAGCACACTAAAATAAAAAGGCACGGCTGCACTAACAATTTTGCGTATGCACATGCTAGACATAGAAATTCATTATAAACATTGACAGATGCAAATGGTTACTAACAACGATGCACAGATGTAGCTGTAGTTTAATAAAGATTTAAGCCTTCCAATGTTTTCCAAATATTAAGCATGACAATGCACTCAAGCTCGTCAGTTCATGTGGCATAGTACCGTCTCTTGGGAGACTACTAGATCAATATTCAAATCCACCATATTCCAAAATATAGACATTATTGGGATAAAGATAATATAGAAATAGCCAAGGTATCACAGAACTCTTAACACCTTATTGCAGGGTTTAGCATAAGACAAATATTGTTGGCACTTGTTTGATGAAGTAAAGAACATAATAGATAAATTATATGCCCATTGCGTACTAGAGCAAAACAGAGTTAGTTCCTAGTGAAGAATATAAATTAAGAAATTGAAAGGCCAAAATTTGCTCAAACGTTACAGTCGACTTTGCCTGTTTGAAAATATTTCAAATTCACCTAAATTAAACTCTTAGGTAATTACACCAAAACAAAAACACCTCAATCACACCACCCATAAAAAGAAGTAGCTTCCCATTCTTTTTTCAACTCCTGGTTAAGAAAATATGAACTGCCATGCAATTCAAATTTTACATGCATAAGTATGTTCAAATTCAAGAAAAACTGCAACAGTTCTTCAATTTCTCATAAGTCATAACCAACCTAGAAGAAATCCACAAATTTTAAAAGTTTACATAGATCTACAACTCTGCATCACAGGGAATATTTTAAAAGTAATACAGTAAAAAAGCAAGTCTTTAAAATGGGGCATTTGTCAGAGCATCTACTTTTCTTCTTAATCAGAAAATACGCTAACTGCATTTAATTAAAAGAACTATCTATTAAAACAATATCACCACATATTATGTGCTAGGGGAAATTCATTCATTCTGAAGCTTCTCCAGATAAAACCCAGCTGCTAGAGTTGCATCAGTTGCAAGCACTCCAATCCGCAAAGAATTACCAGCTTCAAGTGGCTTTCACTTAGCTTCTTGAGCTTCCTGGCAACACACTCAGCCATGTGAAGAAAAGGAAAGAACATCCCTCTGACATCTTTTTATACCAAGAAGGTGATACATGACAAGGCATCACAATGCAACGAGCCCCAGAAGACTCAAGAAAAACCCTTTTATTTATAACATTCTGCACAACAGATGAATAATCCAATTTCAAATTTTCCACTTTACTAGTACTAGAAACAAAATAACCTCTTTCATAAGACAAAAGCTCCCTACTCAAAGAGGATCAGAACATAGTACCAAAGGAGGGGGGTTTCCTCCATCTTCAGAACCGAACTCCACAATTTTCCTAAAAGAATTTGAGAGTAGCATAAATAGATACCCCTCCAATTGTTCCCCCGCTACTGGAGTGATTGACCAAAGGGGTAGCAGATCCATAAAGTTCCAAATCCTCGGAAAGTTCATCACTTTCATATGTGTTTAAAATAATTGATGATGGAGGTGCAGCTTTTACTTGGCAAGACCGTGTCTTGTACAGGTTTCTAGGTGAATTAACATAGCCTAATGTCTGAGACAGACAACATAAGCTCTGGAAAGACATTGTCAAAATGACATGGAACATCTCCAATGTGTGAATTCTTAACAAAGCATATTCATGATATCAGATAAGAAATTGTTTAACATATACAAAACATTCAAATGCAGAGACTTGTTAACTAACCGGTGGAGTACAATGAATGCATGTCTCACTTTGCTGTCTCGTATTTATGATGACTTATTGACTGTTTAGAAAAAAAAAATGTTCAATTGTATTTCTAATATCTTCAGCTTAGATTATATGCAATTTTGATTATTTTAATTTTTTTTTGGGCCAATAAGTTTTTTAATTAAGAAAAACTGGTGCATCTATCAAAATTCTTGTTTAAACCTCTTTAGTCTTTGTTTTCTATTCAAGTATGTGTAGGTTTATCATGCATTTGGAGCAAGAAATTGTTTGAAAACGGTTTTCGTTTGTGCAACTGGCATTAGGAGATCAGTTTCGACGCATCTTCCTGAAGTCAAAATACAAGATAAAACTTCAGGCCGAAACATTTTTTTTTTTGCCATTTTTTATATTATTTTGTTGTTAATCAAAACATGGTTATTGTATTTTGTACAACATTTGGAAATTTAAAACATTATTCCCCCTGTTATCAACTATATTATTTAAAATCAGGCCTATCCAAGTCAGCACTTGGTACAAACTGAGAATAAACTAAAGATCCTGCTGATACAGAAGGCATCTATAGTTTCAAATGTTCTAATGGAAGCCTTAACATCCAGGAAAACTGCATATTTCCTACAGTCTAACGCCAAATTACAATGCTAATCTTCAACCAATTAACTTTCTCCTTAGAAAGACAATACACAATTCAGTAGTTTATCTGCAGAATTGACTGTTAATTGAAACTGCATTATGAGAGAGAATCTGAATTGAGCAGGCAGTGTACCGCAAGTACTCAAATAATTGGGTAGTTGCTAGTGGCTGCCAAGAAAGTTGACACAGTTCCAACAAATCCATAAACTGTTCCAGCTTCCCCAAATGTCTACTGTCACATGCAACATCTATCTGGGGGGTAAAAAGTTTTCCAATCCAATCGATGCAGACACATATGTTAGAACCCCAAAGAAAACATAGAACAAAAGTCTGGTCTCATCTACGTCAAGAACAAATATAAATAAGAGCCGAGCCAACAAGATTTTGGATTCATCGACACGCTAATTTAACTTTCAAAAATGATGTAAAAACCTTGTTGAATGTTGAGAACAAATCAAACAACAAAATCTCAAATGAATGACAATAGCATCCGCTCCATTGTATTATTTTCATTTTTAAAATACCATAATAACATCAACAATCAAATTAATCTGAAAATGGTTTCCATGGAATTATTCCGCATGTCACAGCATCTAACCTCGGGGTAGGCAATATTAGTTTACTCTTTTAAATTTTGAGTTAACTTGCAATATTAGCCTACTCTTTTCAATACTTACTTCCCTTCTTAGGTTGGGATGACAAGTAATGGAAACGGGGGATCTATCATAACTCTTGCAGTTCCTAAGAATGTCATAGGAACCCTTTTCTACCTGTTCTTCGGTTCACTATCAAGAATTTAACTACCCACAATTCATGCAGTCCTTATACAGTGAAAGCTTGTTAATGATCATAACTTGCATATCTAACATTCATTGTTTAGTTTCTTCAAGTTAGTCTTTCATAATCAATAGCACATCTAACATATATAAGTTTTTGCTTCATCATCTTTTCTTGAGCAAACCCTAAGCATTAATCACTTTAATCCTGAATTTTAAATCCTCATATAGTCCCCAATTACATAATTAGCCTATAAAGTAATTGAATAGAAGAATGCAATACCTCAACGAGAGGGAATCATGCCGGTGTTCCTAGCATACGCAAAGATACCACCGGCCTCAATCACAGGACCCGCATCGCCGATCGGTTTCAACCGATACTCCTTTCCGGTGGTATGATTGATCAACCGATTCTCTCCGAGCTCGATCGTCACCACGTCGCCGGTTCTGCACTCCTCGCAGAGGCGACTCTCCGATTCCAGCGGATACACCTCGCCTGTCGCCACCGAGTTTCGGAAGAAGATGCGAGCGTAGGACTCGGCCACGACGGCAGCGACACCGGAGGCGCCGAGCGCGACGGGCGCGTGCTCGCGGGAGGAGCCGCAACCGAAGTTAGCGCCGGCGATGATGATGGCGTACTTAGTTTTGGTCTCGCCGGGATCGATGAATCGAGTGGCGTAGGAAGCGGGGAGACCAACGAGGGCGAAGGAACCAAGCTTCTCGTACTCGTCGGGCTTGGAAGGGACGAGGGTGAGGTACTCGGCGGGAATGATCTGGTCGGTGTCGATGTTGTCGCCGACGACGTAGCAGAGGCCGTGGAAGGATGCGGATGCTGATGCCGAGGCGGAAGGAAACGCGTGGGCGCGTGGGGTTCGAAGAGAGAGAGTGAGGTTTGCTGGAGAAGTGGGAAATGAAAGAAATCGAGAAGATGAAGAAGAAGGAGAAGATGAAAGAAGAGATAAGGATTGTTTTTTGGACGAAGCGAATGCGAGTATTCGAGGAACGGTTGCAACTGCTGTTGAAGAGAACGCCGCCATCGCCATTGCCACTGTTCAACAACACACCCTCACTCTGATTTTCCTTTCAGCAGCCACCAAACAAGTCCTTATTGTGTAGGCTGTGGTAGGTGACTTCCTCGTTTAAGTTTCTATAATAATAATTTTCTTGTTTCTATTTGTTGTCCATTTTTTTTTTATCCATTCTTAATTTTGTAATATAATTTTTTCTACAATTTTTAATTAATTGCCTCTACAATATTTTTTTTATTTTCAGTAATTTTATTGTGAATAATTATATTTTTTGTATAATTACTTATTTTTTTTATAACATTGATACTATAATTCCGTTATTTTATATGTTTATTATTTTCATTTTTACTGTAAAGTATTTGTGATTTTATATTATTATTATTATTATTATTATTATTATTATTATTATAGGTGTGTGTACGTACGAACGACATTAAAAATATTATGTAAACTTTTTCTCATTCAGATTTCATATCATCTCAATGAATAATTTTATATATTTATGATAAAAATAATTATCATTAACAAAATTCTGAATAGATATTCTGAGCGTATATCTTTGTAGAGCTATTATTTTCTTATAACTTAAGTACTGCTATTTAAATGCTGTTATTATTGTTTATAAATTAAATTTTTTATTTTAGCAAAATTACTATATTTAATATTATTACAAAATATTAAAATTAAACTTTAATTTTAATTAAAAAATAACACCAACCATATTTACAAAATTGTTATCTTTGCATAGAAAAAGTTGAATCATGAGTAAAAATATAAAATTTATATGTATTACGTTGACAGGGGAGAAAGAAACTTAATCATCATAATTAATAATTAATTAATTATTGTAAAATTAACATTATTACTCATCTTGATTAAAGAAGTTATTATCTCACAATCTTAATAATATTAACCCATAATATCATAATAGAGTGTCTTGTTAATAATATTTTTTGCAACTTTAAAGACATAATTCTATAATATTAAGTTCATGACTCTTCTTCTGAATTGTTCACTTTCTAGATGTATACATCCAAGAAGATATCCAATTATACCTTCAAACATATTTTGATTATTATTATCATTGTTGAAAATTGATGAAAAGAAGACATGTGGTGGTTCTTTGAAAGCAAAATTCTAACTAACTTAATTTGATGCTCAAATTTGCTCTCTAAGACTAACACATAGTTATGTGTTTAGACTCATGCATTTAAGGCAAAAAAAAACATATAGAATCTTCATATAATATAATGCACAAAAAATTAAGAGAGAAAAAAAAATAAGAAGAGAGGCAGGGAAAGCTAGAAAAAAGTATTTTTGTGCATAAGTCAAGCGAATGAAATTACAACATATTTGCAAAAAAATAAAATAAAAATAAAAGCCTAACTAGTTTCAAAATTGAACTTTTTTAACAACATCTATTGTTATAAGTAAAAATCAAATCAACATTAACATGGTCTATGACAACAATTATAGTAAAAAAAGACAAGATCAAATTTATTATTCTAAGATTTAGTTCTCGCCCATGACAGTCAGAAAACATTAATTTGGTTTGCATTGTTATGTATTAGAATTGTACAAATTTACATGCAATTCTATTAAGTAAAATTATGACCATGTTGGTTTGGATATATGGTTTTCACTCTTGCACAAGACTTTTTGCATACACTGGAGAACATGTCCGTGCCATGTTCTTTTACATTTACATTAGACATGAATCTAACTCAACTTGGCATAAGATCATAGTGATTCTCCAATTTTTGTGATCAATACAAGATAAAACTAAAAGATTGTGACAGTATGACAAATATTTAAACTAATCAAATGGGTTTCCTCTTGTATTGGAAAAGGAATTTGTAGTTTTGGGGATCTCATACACCCCACCTAAATGTTGAATGGTATCTCGAAGTCCAAAAGCAGAACTCTCACTATTGAAGCTGTCAGCTCTCTGTGGTCTACAAAATATTATAAAAGCAATTACAATTAGAAATAAGATTAAAATTCTCAACTAAGAATATAACCTTACCATTGGTAGTGAAATCTTATAAATAACTAATTATGCAAAAAGAAATAGAATATTTGACATCATAAACATTCGAGATTTGGAGTATTTTGAATAAAAGAGAAACTAGGTTGGTGGCATGCTTTAGCTTATAATCCATTGACTATAGCATAAAGAATAGAAAATATTATCAAGCATATAATTTACCTGGTAGGTTTCTCCTTATTAACTTGATCAATGTATATTCCTGAGAAGATTGAATAAAAATAACCATAAAAAAATAAAATAAAGAATAAAATCTTCTAGGAAAATGGAAGATAGCAAGAGAAATACCCATAGGAATTGGGGATGCATAATTTGGAGGCTGAGATGCCATTGTCTCTAAAGACCCTAGGCTTGAAACATGCATTAATCCTGTTTTGGGTGATGCAGCTGGCATTCTACTATGCGAAGATGTCGTAGTAGGAAGCTATATATAGACAAATACCATCAGTCTTAAAGGTTAAATAATTTACTTATTTCCCTTAAATATGTAAACGTTAAGGAATACAAGGTTGATAATAAATTAATAATACAAATACAAAGGATGATGAGAACTTTTACTTCAGGATAAGCTATCAAGACATTTCAATAAAGTTGTTTAGAACAATTATTTAATAAGAAAACAAGAGGTTGAGAGCATAAGACCAGATAATAAGACATCATCTCAGAAAAGAGAAATCAAGTTTAAACAAAATGAAAAAAAAAAAAAAAAAAACACATTACATACAGAAACATCAATGTTTTAATGACTCCAATCTGGTTGTCTATCTATTCCAGGACATTCTTAGAGGACCCATTCATTGTATTTGACAAAGGAAACCCTCCTCCATCCCCTATCCAAAAGCATTTCAGCGTGGCAAACATTATTTACTCAATGAATGGAAAGTTCTATGGTCTTAATCCAGTAAGAAATTAAAAATGCAAAAAACTTCTCCCTTAAAAATGTTCAATTTTTAACAATTTGTTCATATTTACTCAAATAATTAATGGGATCAATAAGTTTTGTAATACTGCAGAGTTGTTAACCATAGGGATGAACAGTATACAACTACAAACCAGTTCACATAAAATATTGTTAAGCCTTAGTCCTAAAAGTAAGTCCTTCTTTATGAGTTTCAACTTGTAAACAAATGTTCTAAATGGTTTATAATAATGAATCATATGTGCTCATTAAATTAGATCAATAAAGTGCATGCGGGAAAAAATGCTTCCTAAGTGATAAATTTCGTTAATTAATTATACTCCTCCAGAAGGATACATTAAAATGAGATACGAATTGAGTGTAAACTAAACTTGATATTTAGTTAATTATGTGATTATTTCATCTCACTGGCTTTGATCAATTAGAGTGTTTCTTCTTTTTCTATGTTATGAATTTTCACAAGAGTTTCAGGTTTAATTGCAGAAATAAGCTTAAAATATATTAAAAAAACAAGAATAGTTTGCAACAACACTAAATTAAATTAACATTTTACATACTGAAGATGCGTGGGTTAGACTTCTTCCCTCAATTACTTCAAAAGGATTTGTGGACTTTGGCGTAATGGGAAGGGTTGAGGGAGGCTGTCAATGAAACATCACATCAATTAATCGACATCCATATCTAAACCAAGGGAAGAGAAAAATAAAATTAATAATAGAGTTGCATATAATGGTACCATAGCATTAGGGTAATAATGCATGCCATATTTCATGCCATGAGGTTGAACATTTTGCCAACCTACATGTGATGCAGGGCCAGCTGAGTAGCTTGATGTAAAAAGATCCTGCAGAGAATTCAGTTATGCGTTAAAGTTCTTTTATCTTAAAAGAATTGTTATGACTACAGTACATCTATTACCTCTGGAAGTTCCATTCTTCCACTAGACCTAGTTTCCACATTACTAAACTTAGAACCTACATCAAGTCTGGTTTCTTGAGTAGGTTTTGAGGTAATTTGAGAAGATGGTTCAGCAAAAACACTTGAAGTGTCGTTTGTATTAGGAGCAATTGATGGCTGTATGTAATCAAATTAAAAAACAAAATGAGTAACTATGTAAGTAGATAAATAGAAATAAAACTAAGGCTCTAAAATGCAAGACAATGATGGCGTTTGCTTGCTCTTCTTCTACACATTTCAATATATAAATTACAAAAACTATGTTAGTAATGTTACTTCCTAATATGGGCTGAAACAATGGAATAAGCTAGATTTTACCAAAGAAATTGATAGTAATATTGAGATTTCAATATTTAATGTATAGAAAGCCATGCTAGATATCTCACCTGATTATTTGAAGCTACATTTTTCACTAATGCATTTGTTGGTTGGATGGTTGAGCTATAACCTGTTGATATAGAAGGAATATATTGCATGCTTGATGGTTTTTGTGCATGTGAAACTTTAATGGAGTCTTTTGCTTCATGTACCTCAGCATGTGGAGGAAATTCATTAGAAGGTTGTGCTAACTCAGTGGTAGTATTTGATGTAAGAGACCAAAAACTAGTATTGTTGGGTGTTGTAGTTTTTTGTTCTATTGAAGTAGGTGGAAAATCCCAAGTACAAGCATTTTCTACTATTCTAGTTGTTGGATCATTATTATCACCACTTGGAACTTGTGACATGCCACCAGTCCCTGGAGTCAAAGGGCCTGACAATTCAAAAAGTAAAAGGTCTAAAGGATTTTTTGCAGATGTTGTTGTTTCAAATGTTGCCTCTGTTGTAGAAGGTTTCAAGTTATTTGTGCTTGGAATTTTAGGATCATTGCCCTCTGTTGAAGGTTCAAATATTGCCCAGTTACTTTCATCTGATTGTGGTAAACACAATGTATTCGATCCAACTCCAGCAACAACATCAGAAACCTGAGACTTTGAACTCAAACTAGTGGAGCTTTCTTGATTTATAACTCGTTCAGATGGATTTTCCTCAATAGAACCCTCACCACCAGAAGGTGTGACCTTTTAAAATTGAAATTTATGAAAGATTTAGTTCAAATGATCATTTATAACTTCATAATACAACAATATGTTCTCCTAAAATATAATACAAACTCTATAGGACATGTATCACAAACAAAAATATAGATGTTCTTGATTGTTGTTTCCAAAACAATATAAAAATTCTATCTCAGCATCCAAAAAAAAGTACATTAAGATATAAAAAATCATGAGGAGAATGCATACACAACACCAAATTATGCCAGATAGACTTGGTAGAAGAATTTTTCCTATCATGGATACACATTCTTAATATAAGTGCACCACTAGAAGCTAAAAAAGGGGGATTCACATTGTTATGAGACTAAATACGTGCAGACTTAAAACACAGTCACATTGATAAAGAATGCAATGCATTGCTGCTTCCGAGCTTGAGAAGGAAACAACAAAGGAAAGTAACTCTAAAAAAAGCTAAAAATTTATAAGAAATACAAATAACAAGAAAAATATAATACAAGTAAATAGTTGATTTTGTGCTTGAGGAGGTTCACCTCGTGTAGAGATAGAGCATTTTCCCTTAATATATCTCCCAAAGAACGTGTAACAGGGAGTTGGGCTTTATCCACATTCTTCTGACCATCAATTGAAATTTGTCTTAGCTTTAATTCTAAATTTGAATGTCTTCGACTTTTATAGTCATCATCTCGAAACCTGTCATCAACAACTTCAAATTTTATAGGACTCCTAGTGTAGCTTCCTTGCCTGATATATTTTTGTGTATATCTAGGACTTCTACTTTCATCATATAAATATCTGAAACTTGTGTCATCACTTCTTGCACCAGGATTTGAATGAGGACCTTTGAACTCAAAACAAAGTGAATTACTCTTCCTACTTCCATAGGATTCCTCCTTATTATTCTGTATACAAAAAACAAACTCATTTCAATTGTCTCTTTTTTGTTAAGTCATGATAATCGATGAAAAAAAAGGTATATAAAATTACCAATCTAATATTGGAAATATTGTCATTACTCCTTTCACCAGTAAATCTTCTCTCCACATAGACATGCTTGATAAATTCTCGAAGCTTGTGTATATTACTGGAAACAAAGATTTGAATTAGGAGAGATGTCATATAAACTATCACTATAAGGGTGTGCTAAGGTGAGTAGCATAAGCAAGCACTTGTTCAATCTTATTAAATCATCACTCATTCATAATTTTTTTAGGAGGAATGGGATGATGCAATTTTTTCATAAGTTTGATTACGAAGCTTTTTTGAAAAAAAATGGGTTTCTGGAGCTTAAAGGAAAGTCATAGATTGTTTTCACACATAAAAATTCTAAATTACTAGATTGCATATATTTGACTGATAAAAAAAAGTATTTAAATTTTAAGTTAGAAATTTTTTACATAAACACAAAAACTTTGAAATGACATGTCATAAAAAATTTAAAATCTCTTTTATTATATTTAATTTTTTTAATTATCATTCATAATTCTTCTCATTCTTTATTAACATTTTAAGTTGTTATGTTTCAAGAATTCTAAAATTCTTGATTCAAACACAACCATAAGTTCTTCCAAACACACACTACTAGGGAACAAGAGATAAAAAATTACCAGGAATCAGGATAAGAATGACGTAAAGAATTCCATTCTTTAAAATAAATCTGCTTTGCTCTCTGTGCATGGATAATGTTAAACATTTGTTACTAAATTACTAGTAGCTTGAAATTTGAGAAAAAATAAAAATAGCTTGATCAAGCATACCTCATTTCCACCTGCTTGAAGAGCATTGACTTCTTCTGCAGTAAATTTAGCCATTGATACTGATTTTACTCTATGGGTAAACTCTCGACTGAGATTCATATAACATAGTAAGTACAGACAAATGAACTTTCAACAATTATCTGAAAAATCAATCTGTACTAATTACAAATAAAGTTTGTGTGGAACATGAATAATTAAAAATACACATGAAAATAAATATATATCAATCCATTAAGGGCCTTAATCATTAAAAACCAAAAACAAATTTAAAATTATTTCAATGCTTACTGTATCCCACTGCAATTTGTGCAGATAAATGTCGAAAAAGTTGTACAGACATATTGTGGTCCCTAATTCATAAAAATATTCAATGTTACATAAGATGAATTGTAATGTAAGACTGTTGTGTGTGTATGAAATGTATCAACAGTTTTCATTTAAAAGTTACGAGAACTTTAAATTTTGACTATAGATAGCTAAAATTTAAGGTTAGTAGTCTATAATGATCACTTAAAAAAGTTACATGCATCAATTTTTTTTAATTTTTACCATTTAAATAGAATTTAATAATTTATTTCATTTTTTACAATAAATTTAACGCTAATTTACTCTTCACATAAAAAAAATTCGTATTCAATGATCATTGAGACAACCAATTTATTGTGAGAATATGAGGAAAGAAATCTTAACTATGTAATATTGTATAATGATTCGATTAAAACGCCAATTAAAAAAAAAAAAAAAAAACATATGGACAAACATTGAAAACAAAGGTACAGGTTCATATGTCTTTTATCTTAAGTAGAAGCCATTGTTCTGTTACACATGATTTTTCTTTGGAAGAATTTGTAGAAAAAGTTTACAAGTCTTATAAGGTTTTTTTAACTTACTTTGATAAAAAAAATTATTTTTAACTTATTTAATAAATCTTATAGTAAAATTTATGGCATAAATTATCATTTAAAATTAACATATTGAATAAGAGCATAATTAAATTGTAAATTCAAACACACTTACAGACGTTTTTTAACTAAATAAGATCTACCAACATGTGATCCAATAACTTGTAGATGTTGCAAAATATAGGAGTCCATATATCCCAACATGCTAGTCATCATCATAGCATACCCAAATACGTTGTTTATGATGACAAAATTTTGTTTTTCAATATGTGTAAGTTAAATGTATATCTAATTAATTTATAAAACATGAATTTTCTTTTTCTTTAACAACGTATTTTATTGGAGAACAATTAGTAAAAAGGAAAGAAGTTTTTTTTTTTAATTTATAAAGTTTCATATTGTTGTCTAAAAAAATACAAAATCTATTCTTTTTTATAACTTTTTTCTCAATAAAAAAATTAAAAGATTTTGAAAGCTTTTTATTCTTTACTATTCATAGATTTTAAAATTTTAATTAAATAAATATTTTTATGTTGTTGAGTATTGTATTAATGTTTTTTTTTTCACTGAACATATATAATAAGAATTTTATACTTTAGTAAAAATTATTGTATTATTTAAAGTCATGTTATGACAAACATTAAAATATAAAAGAAAATAAATTGAAAAGGTTAGAATACAAAAAATTCAAATAACATATAAATGAAATAAATAATTAATTAATAAAACATGTGGAATTGTTAAATTTTAAAAAATATATAAATATAAAATTACGACATGTGACATTTTAGTGAAAAATATTTTGTACTAATTATAAATACTAATCACTCTATCTACTTTTGACAGTATAACTTAAGTAGAAGGGAAATTAATCTAAGAAGAATATAAAAAGAAGCTGAGGATAACTTTAATGTGTCTCTAGTAGCATGCTATGTTGATCATAAAAGCCAACTCTTTATTAAATTAAATTACTCTAAGAAGTTAATTAATGAAGGTTCTTTGCACTGGTTGGTCACTTATTTGGTCTCTCTATAAGTACAACACCACATAGTCTCTTGTCATTGAAAATAATATACAGCTGCTTTAGTTCCAAATATGTGATTTCTATCTATTTAAGGATCAATTTTTCAAAAAAAGAAAACAAAATAAGATGGTCTTCCCTTGCGTTTGAGATGAGTTACTCCTAAATATTAAAAATTGCATTACAATATGATGATTTGCAAGCTTTCAACAATAATAGATTTTGCTTTATATTAAAAAAAGAATTTGATCATAGAAAGTAGTGATTTTTCTGCATATATTGGTCGAAATATTGCACTTTGTGTTAGCACTATTATGAAAAAGGAATAATTTTCATACCAAAAGATTGCAGTTGATGCATCTTCGATTTTCAGGAAGTTTTAAAAGACCCCGAATTACTCTTTCAATCCTTTCATCTTCTGCCTTCCGATTTCCCATTTTAAATTGCTGAACCTTAATCACATTGAACATCAATAGAGTAAGTAAATTTTCACAACTTAAAAAATAAGACAACAGCAAGTGAAAAGAACTATAAATGATTGAACATGTTTTTGTTTCGTTGTTAAACTTATTTTATCATCATCTAATGTAATTATATGTTCTCACATGATTTAAAGAATTCAAATATGATGACAACAAATACTTGAAACTTAAATCAACAAATTATTTGAATAATGTAACATTTAATAATAATGTGTCAAAAATTTACTGTGTCGCATCATCATTAAACTATCACCTTTGTAGTTAGTAGGCAACTATCTAAATATTTGTGTATGGTAGACAAAAAAAATGTAATTAAGCTTTGAAGGTGTCACAACCTTTTAAACGGATTGATCATTCAATGTCAAGAGAATATTAAAAATCGTCATCAAATGGCCATGCAATCAGAATATAGTAACATTCTCTAACCCAAGACCTATATATATATTTTCAATTATTAGATTCAATTTCTAAATCATCTTAGGAAAAGAAACACCAGATTTTCTTAGGTACCAAACCATACAATAGAGGGGAAAAAATGTTGGAAAACGAACCTGCTCCAATCGGAAGAGAAAGAAAATACGATGGTGATGAGTAATGACAACAATGAAAGATGATTCAATGTTAGAATTGCAGAGGTTTGAAATATTAGGGACAAAGATGATCACAAGAAAATTTAGTTATTTAAGCCAACGAGGGAAAATTGCCGGTATTGAAGGTAACGCCAACTTTTCTTTTCTTCTTTTGGTCAATGAACTTTATTGACTATATACAAGTCCTCTAACCTGTGACATTAGTACTTTTTGGTAATTTCATATATATATATATATATTCTATCCATTTAATTAGGAAAAAAACAAGGCATGTATGCTTATAAAATTTTGAGCATTTATTCTCATCAAAACCCAGTGTTGTTTGCAATATAGTATCAGAATTTCCTCTACACAATCTACATGCACATAATCACCTTGCTACATCTTAACCATGTGTTATTAATATTCATTCCCAAGCTACACATTACTTATTACTTCATCTAATTCCAAGTCATCTAGTAGGTAGAGAAAGTGAGTTTTCCAAAGGTTTCTACATACTCTCGAATGTGTGTGAGGTTGTGGTTAGAAATAAAATGCCACTCAAACTTAGAGCTACATAGTTCTTCCCAAAATGGATTGAGATGCATGGATTGATTAAACATTTAGCATTAAAAAACTTTTGGTGTGACCCACGAAAGCAATACTAAATCAAGGCAAATTATTAATACTGAAATATGACTTTAAAACTTTTTGTAATAAGTGAAATATGATGAAATGAAGCACGATAGAGTAAAATTCTAGCTTGTTTTGATATATAGTCAAATTACAAAAGTAAGACAAAATGGAATAGGATAGAATTTCAATATTCTATTCTATTGTTTTGTTGTTATAATTATCCAATAATTATTTTATCTTTTTTAAAATTTACACTTAAATCTTTGTTCTTTTATGGAGATTGTTTTCTTCTTTCTTTATGAGTTTCAATACTCGATTTTGTCCGCTCTTTATTTTTCATAAACAAAATTAAAACTCAAAATTTTAAAAAATTATCAAAATAATAAGAATCATAATATCATAGTTAAAAATAGAAAGATAATCTATTGAATAAATATTATGAATAATAATATTATTTTAGATATAAAATAAAATACACCTAATTATAATAAAATTTTATTTCATAATTTTTTAAAATAAGTACATTTCTAAAGAAAAAAAAGAGATTAAAATATTTACATAAGGAGTAATTATACTATAAAAAAACATAATTAAATATTTAAATAAAAAATTTCAATTTGTTATACAGATTCCCATTATATTTTTTGAACAGAAATTAAAAGACCTGATTTTATTTATTTATTTATTTTGAAAAAAATGACTTTTAAAATAAATAAATCTCACAAACCTGCACTTTTATTTTACTTTTGTAAATATTATATAATTCTTTAATTTTGAAAATAAAGTACTTGTCAATTTCTCCCTTTCCTTCCATAAACTGCAATTTCGTTCCTCTACTCCAAATTTTCAATTCTTTAAAGAAAATTACTTATGTTACTCATTTCCAATTATAGTTACCAAGATACATGTTTTGCTCAAATTCTGGATTTTTTTTTTTCTCATAATTAACAAATTCCCATTAAGTGGAGCAACTTGGGACTAATAAATTTGTAAAAAATAATTATAAATAATGGAACAATGAGGGACTAATAACTGTGGGATTAAATTATAAGGTGTACTCTTAGGATTTTAGGACATTAGCTAGTGAATTTGTAATAGAATATGTCTAACATATGATTTATGCAACATGACAGCATATAGTTTCATTTAGAATAAAAGGTTTCATGATATCTTCAAATGCAAGAACATGATGTTGTTTATGTAAACATACCTTATGTGCATTTTCATTTTTGAAGGTAACCATGATCATTTTTTTATGAATTTTTTTCAAATAAAAACAGTGCACGCATGATATTGAGTCTCCTCAATTTTAATGTATAGTTGAGGAATATTAGCAATACACTATTTTTAACACACTCCTAATTATTAATTAAAATTTATTAAAAGTTACAAAAGTATAAAAAAAACATTGAATTAGAAATAAAAAAGAATAAAATTCACATAATTTTATAGTTTTAAATTTAACTGATAGTTAGAAATGTGTTAAAAAAAGTGTATTAGAGAGTATATTGCTAACATTTTTTTTATTTTTGAAATGTCAAATTATTTAAAAATTTGATAGGTTGACTAAATAAAATATTTCAAAAATTACTTGATAGAAATTAAAGTTTATATTAAAGTGTTTATATTGAATTATCTTATCTCATTAAATTTTTAAAAAAATGCATTCTTACGCGTCTTGTGCTCTTATAATAATGTTCACAAAGTAATAAAAGTTCTTAAATATGGTATATATTTAATATTTTTTAAAAACAAATAAATTTTCTTTCTTTTCATTTTATTTTCTCTCCTTTTTGACATTGCTCTACTTCTTTTTAAACTCTCATTTTTTCTTACATTCACTTATAATTGTACTTAGAAGCTAGGTTATAGAGAAGAGTGAAGAGGGTAAATTTTTTCTTTTAAATAAATTTATCTAATTTCAATTTTCATCAAGATAAAAACCTTAAAATGATAAATTAGTATAATTTAATGTATTAATCTTTTATTTTTTTTATAAATCTTATATTATATAATTATTTAAATTTAAAAATAAAATAATTGTCCTCTCCTCCCCTTTCTTCTAAAATTCTACTTTAAGAATATTTCAAAGACTTTGAAAAAAAAATTTCTATGTAATTTTGTTTCTCTATTCTAAATTTTTAATTACTTAGAGAAAGTTACTTATGTTACTATTTTTTATTTTCATCCTTACCATTTTTATAGTTTCTATATGATTTGCTTTACTCAATATATGCTACTTATTTTTTTTAACAATTCACAAATTAAAAAATTAATAATTTGAAAAATGTTTGTCTCGAACTCCAGACTACAGGTTAAGTTAAAATAACCTCTACCAGTTAATTCACGTTTTTGGTAGTATATTGTTGTATTTTAAAATAGATAAATTGACTCTATTTTCATTATATTGAATAAAACTTTAAAAAATTACTTAATAAAAGTTTAAATCATATTAAAAATTATTAAAGTATTTTAATTCAATTGTCTTGTTTTGTTAATAACTTTTTAATTGTGGAAATATTTTTAAAATTTAAAAAACACATTTACCATCTTTTGTTTTTATCGTAACGTTGACAAAGCAATAAAAGTTCTTAAATATAGTATTAATTTAATATTTTTTAAGAAAAAAAATATTTTTTCTTTATCTTTTCCCTACTTTATTTCCTTTATATTTGTTATGTTTCTACCGCATTGCAACACCTCTGTCTAAACTCTTCTCTTTTCTACTTTCCATAGCTTAAAACTCTATAAAGCTTAAGATGCTTTTCATTTTCTCTTTTCTTTTCTTTTCTTTTTCTTTTTTTTTTCTTTTTTTCTTTTTTTCTTTTTGGTTTACAGGATGCTAATAGCATGAGAAATTATTCTACAAGCAACAGAGGGTTCTATGGAAATCATATCCCCAAATTTCACTCGATCAAGTCCAAGAGAATGTCAGCATCAAAGACAAGAAATGGTCTTAGGAAGTGGATCATGGGATTGTTAACTAGAATGGTTCTGACCTTGATGAGTTTAGATTAGATGATGCCTCAGGTATTGAGTTTTAACGATTTTGATGCTTGATTAATTTGTTGGGTTGGTCAATTCACCAATTTGACAATTGAATCAATAGGTCTAGCCCAAAGCCTCAATTTTCTTTTTCTCCTTTTTTCCCCCTACTCTTTTCATGTTACTTTAATTTTTTATTAATGTTTTTGAAAAAATTAAAGAAAATATATCAATATATTTGTGTCATAAAATTACACTTCTTTCTGTTCAATGATTTTGATTTTTTTTATAAATATTTTATTTAAGAAAAGCTTTCTAGTCCCAATGTGATCCACCCTAATCACCTCAAATTTATTTGACCTGAATTTCATTTTATGTCAAACCAAACTCAACCCGACACATGATTACCCTTATCTACAAAGAAGCATGCTAGTAACATACTCTTTTAAATGTGATTATTAGTTAAACCTTATAAAAATTATCTTACTTTTAATTTAATGAATGACACTATATTTTTACAATTCTTAATAAACTTAAATAATTAAGAGCATACGAAAAATGTTAAAAAACATATTCCTAACACTGCATCAATTAGTAGGGATCTAGATGCACTTTACACTACAGAATCATCCTATTCCCAAGGCTTCTTTGGTAGAAAATAAACTAGTATAATGATAATTTTCTTTTTGTTGGTGTGTAAACATTATCATTGCAATCTTAGTCTTAAAGTAGTGGTGGTGAAAAATGAACGGGAACGATCAATTTCAGTAACTCATGCCACAGAAAACAGCCTAGTCTACATTTGGACTGCACACTCAAAGAAACAGGACTATTTCTAATTCAAACTGGTGTTGTATTATTTGGCCGATTTCTATTTGTATATTGAATGTTTGAAAGAGAAGGGGGAAGGGGATCTGTACAAATATAGGCAGCCAAAAATATAGGCAGATCAGTGCTACAGTTACTGTGAACTGAGCACATCCCAAGCTGGAAAAGATTCTGATAGTGAGAAGGTGTTGCATTTTGCAGCAACAGAATCTTCTCCCCTCGCTGAACCCAGCATTCATGATTAAAGATCAATACGGAATATCCAGATAGGGAAAGAAAAAAAAGGCCACAACTCATCAAGGCATTATTGGATGCTTATCTTGCTGCTGATCGCGGACTGAGTCTTCAGCAGCTTTCATTGCTTCAGCAGTCATAAGGGCAATTGCAGCCTTGTGAATTGCTAGTTCTGCTTTACGGAACAATCTCTGAGCTCTCCCCCTCTTTAACTTAGCCACCTTTCGTGCATGCTGAGCCTCACCTACGACGTCCCGCAATCTGAACTCATCAAGGTCCGAACCATCCAGTTGTTCAGTCCCTTGCCTGTGAAGAGCATCTTGTAGAGGCCGCCTGTGACTTCTATCAATCCCATTTCTTCTTTCAGATTCTAGCAATTTCTGGCCAGAATCCATCATATAAGAATCATTCTGGTACATAAATGACTTCTTGGACTGATTCCTACAGAATTTCGGGATGTGATTTCTATACATCCCTCCACTACTTGTGGAATAATTTCTTAAGCTATCAGCATCCCGCGGTGAGAATACCCTCGGTGAGGTCTGACCCAATGGGGAATCATCAAAGGAATCATAACTATGGCCTTGGTAAATGAACTTCTCATCACCTAATGGTATGCCATTCAGTCTTCTTCCTGAGTTTACAACAATTAGATGTAAGGAAAAAATTTTAATTTAATTTTAATATGCAACAATAGCTAATGAAATCAACACTTGTAAACCAAATACTCACCGAATGTGTGGAAGCCATCCTGATCTGGAATACTGTTTATATGACCAGAGACTGAAATTTTCTTTTGTGACCGATGTTTCAGCACCTTGTTCAGTGATTCCAAACCCCTTGGTTTCAGACAGAAAGCAAACATAGGCGGCTTCTCCAAATTTGCAGCCTTATCTGGGCATCCATTAGAAGAAATGACGCTGTTCCTGGTCAAGCCAAATTCCCACTCCCGCATTTGTTGTTGATATCTTTCCCATAGAGGTGGCTGAAAAGCACAAAGGTTTAGAGAGAAAAATTCAGGCACACAATACCGAAGCATACACATCAGGTAAACAAGAAAACAGGCCATCTCAGGAAAAGCCAAGGGAAATTGCATAAACTTGTGACATTTTAAGCCAATCAAATATAAAATCGTATAGAACCATTTGTTCTACCATAGTAATTGAAACATATCCTTCATAGTCGTATCCAGCATGGGACATACCCAAGAATATGTAACAATAGTCAAGCAATTGTGTATCTAGGGACTGACACTTGAAACAACAACTCTGTTAATTACCAAATTCCTCATTAAAGCATCCTAAGGACATTACCACCAAAACCATATTAAGCCTCATTACAAAACCAAATTTAGCACACAACATATAGCTTTTATTTTGGCATTCTTTTAGGTGCAATCGGTATGTCCAATTTCCATGGACCCATTTTCTGTCTATTATTTACTAGCAGATGCTTTGGTAGAAGGTAACATGCACCACAATTCAAAGGCTCAGAACAGTTTGCCTCAGATTTGAAAAGCCTCTTAGATATTTAATATATTTTGAGAGTAACAAAGCTAAAATTAAACCCATTACTGCAGTATTAATCTCTCTCCCTTCTCTCATCCTCCTCTCCAATTATATCAGCAAATCACTTCATATGAAGTCAATAACTTGAGCCAGAGACATATTCCTAAAACCAAAACAATTTTAACAAGAACAAAGAATGGTAATTTAAACATCACCTGAAAGTGCCGTACTAAAGCCATTCCCTTCTTCAGCCTTTTCTGCTGCCAATGGTCATAAATCATTTTGACTACACACAAAGGCCCAACATTAAACATGAGTTCCTCTATCTCATTAGTTGTAAAGTGATCACGCTGCTGAGCATATGCAGCTTTTTCAAACATGTCCATCGTCTTCTCAAGCATCATCTCTGAGATCCCCTTCAAGTCACTGTTGTATTTTTCAGAATTTTGAATGTTTGAAATCCACTGCTCATCCTCACTATCCATGTCATACAGAACACGGGATGGATTCAGAGCCATCTCAACATCAGTTTCAACCTGTTGGAAGTACTTACAGCTCCAAACAAATGTTACCTCAGATCCATTATCATCATTTTCTTCTATCATATGAACACCAGGAATAGGTATGTTTTTAACTGAAGCAGCGCGGATGTTCCGGTTGTAGCATTCCTCATGCATCTCCTTGAAAAGAGCCCACTGACTCCGATCAGGAAATTCCAATATCCAATCCTTCTCTACTTTCCACATCATTGCATGTGTGAAACGATTTGTTGATCCAGGCTGCAGAAACTGATGTGCTTTGTATGAATACCTTGTAACTCCTGAAAGTTTTACACAGAGTCTCCACTCATTATGGTCAAAAAGCTCCATTACAACAAGGGCCCCAGATTCTCTCCAACCTTTATCACCAAGTGTTATCAAGAGATTCACATCACAAGATAAGCATTCAAAATTCTTTTCAGGGCCCCTAGCAACATCAGATGACTTCTTCTCACTAGCCTTTCTTATTCGTTTGTGAGGAAGCCCTTTCTGATGATGGTTTCTGTGCCTTGAACTGAATTCGTACCCTGCAGAAGGCACTGAGTATGATACTTGTGTACGTGGCTTTTTAGGTCCATTGCTAAAATCATTGTGAAGAGTGTCAACCTTGCCATCAGACCACCCATGTGACTGAAATCCCAATGATAAGGAACTATTCCGGTTCCGATATGAATAACTTCTGCGAGCAGTTGGATTGGAGCTTGGAATAACACCTCCATTTATATTACAAGCAAAATCAGGAGGGTGTGGAGCACCACATAAATCACCATCACCTTGTCTCTCGATTTGATCAACTGAAGGAGTTTCAATACTGAGATGATCACCAACAAAAGAATGAGAACCACCTTCAGCCTTATCCTGGCATATTAAAGAACTTGAAGTTAGCTCTTGTACCAAATGGTTGGATTGCCATTCAGGTATGTGGGTTGTATTAAGCCTCTCAGAATCATTGGAAATGTAAGTGCCAGCACCATTAACACCTGTACTCTGGTAATTTTGAGAAATAATTTGATCACTGCAAGTAGCAGGATCCATTACTTGATCTGAGTCAGCACAACACCATCCATCACCAGCTGCATCATTTGACAAAGTTGCCATATCTTTCCTCAGAATAATTCCTGAATTCCTGTTAGAGTAAACATCAGTGCTAGTACAGCCATCTGTCATCAAACCAGAGTCTTCCTGATCATCTATGGGTGCATGACCACAGAAGTTTATACGAGTTGTAGACTGCTTCATCAGCAACTTGAGATGCAGACCAAGAAAAAACACAGGTACTGCAGCAAAAGAAAGAGCAAATGGAGGAAGCTTCCTCGCACCAGCATCAGAATACTGATGAGCATCAACTTGAGTGGACACTTTGGAAACACCCATGATGTTAATCCATGGCCTGCTCTTCTTCTGCATGACCTGTGTTCATGTGGAAGTTGAATGATTTTATTCACAATAGAACCCAAAATAAGATAACTTGCAGTTAATTTTGGAAGCTTTTACAGGATATACAATGTGGAATTACAGCAAGTGTAAAACAAATAAATTCTTAAAAGGGTTAAGGCTATGGAATTACCAATCAGGAAATATAGAAAAAGGGAAAAAGTACCTTCACTGAGGACTCGCTGATAGAAGTTAACTCACTTGATCCATTTTGAAGTGCCTGGATGTTATCATAAGTGCATTCAGAAAGATGGAGCTGCTTCCTGAGCAGGCAATGCCTCTTAAGCTTGGAATCTAAGTACACCCATTTCGAATGCTTCACTCTGGGGAAATTATAGAACGCAAACACTAGTGGCTTCTTAATAACATTAACACAAGAAAACTTGAATCCAATAGATGTACATGGAAAATGCTCGTCAACATACTTCCCTCGGCAAGAAGATTGATGAAACAGCCTAAGGACAAAAAAGACAAAGGCTACAGCCGCGTTCAAGCAGTCTTCAAATAATAGAAACTTCAACCCAACCACGTTATCAACAAAAAGCATCTCCAAACAAACTCTCGGCCACTTGTTCATAACTGTACCACACCGAAGCAGCAAAACAGTATAGAGCAACCACAAATTTTCTGATTGAAAATAGTCATTCAACACCAAACGTGTTGGAAAATTTAAGTCACATTTGAATGATGCTAACTCCATGTCCCAAAAAATGTTTGATACTCCCGCCTTGTAAGTGAACCACAATGGCCCCTCAACTCTGCTGTAACTTTGTTTTTCTACTTTCTGAATCCCACCAGCAATCTGGTCAACCAAAACAGAACCAGATGCACTTGTAATAGCACGTTTCTCTTCAGAGATACGAGAGAATATTGGAGCTGGTCTCCGAAACCGCTTTCTGAAATAGACAAGAGGCTGTTTTCTATCTTCAGTGCGAGCAGTGCGTTGAAATGAGGACTTCTCCCTAAAATTATCACCTAATTTATCTTGCAATCCAGAATCACTAGACAAATTATTTTTAACACCCCTCAAAGAACTCTTAGCTAAATGTCCCTTTACTGTAACAACTTCATTATATAACAATGATGATGTACTTCGAAGTGTAACAGAAGTTTTCTGCTTCTTAATGCCTTGAAATGAAGAAGCTTTATGCCGATCAGAAGATCGAGCCAACCATGAAATTATAGGCTCTGTGTCCATACAGCTCCCATCACAACTATCATCCTCAGTAATCTTGTCTGCGTTTTGCCTTTCTTTTCTGGATTTGCTTCCATGTTGGTGATCAGAACTTCTACTTTTCATTAAAGCTCTCTCACCTTCTGCATTTCCAGGAACTTCACTACGAAGTAACAAGAGTTTGAACCTCTCAGTATGGAGATTAATCCATTCTTCATCTCGATCATCATATTTGATATGGTAAAGCTTGCTTCCCTCATCATAGTCATCAACATGGCCATAATACCAACTCTGGTCCAGAGGCCAAAAAATTTTAATTCTCCGGTCCAGTATCCAATATGCATCCACATCATCTATCAGAATTTCATAAAAATGGCGCCTCTTCCTGGATTTACCTTTGTCTTTGTAATGTTTCCTGGGCCTCAACACTCTGCCAGCAGTATCAGCTGATGCTGAATCTGAATCTGACTGAGACTTTGACCGACAGTTAACAATATTTTGACTAGAAGATAAGAAAGAAGATAAACCATTTGCTGATGGCAATACAGAAGACTTGCTATTGGAGGAAAATCCAGTACAGCTTGGATCAAACCTGGAAGATAGCATCCTTGCTGCATTCGCCTCAAGATTTTCCTCTTCATCTTCTTGTAAATCATCAGATATTTTACAACCATCAATCAAAGGCTCAGCCTTCTGGGAAACCTTAGTTCTATCTGAAGCCAAAGCCTTCCGCTTCCTATTCTTCCTTTCTGACTTGGTCAAAGAGGAATCACCACTATTTACAACAGAATGAGAAGCAAGATCCCCATTCTCCCTGAAATGTTGAACTGAATTTGAATCACTATTCCGATTTTCCTCAAATTCATCAAAATTTTTCTCATGTTTAATCTTCAAAGGCTCAACCCCCCTGCCCAAATCATCACTACCTAAACTAGGCACCCGATTGCCATGGCCAAATTTACTACTAGGCTGATCTAACAAATTTGTTGCTTGACCCACTTTGGATTTCTTCCGCCCCACGAAATTCCTCTTTCGCTTGGGAATCTGAACAGCATCAACACCAAGTGAAACTCTATTGAGCAGACTACTACTGATCAATCTTTGAATCACCCCCAACTTTAATTCATGCAAATCTTGCCTACCAGAGCTTAGCCCTTTCTGAAATTCCTCATCAAGAACCTTCTTCCTGCTACCATCATCATTTTCTAAGCTACTTAAAGACACTTCTTTTCTAGCCTTCTTTCTCTTCCCCTTCTCATCAACACCCCCAGGACTACTGCCTCTCCTCTTCAAGTTCTTTTTTGGAGTCTCTTCTGTCAATTTTGATTTATATAAACTTTTAAGATCCAGAGATCTTGATTTTTTGGGAATTGTAGCGTCATTGGAGTTCTTTGTTTTCCCTTCCATGGACAACCAACAGTACAAACTCACACCAAAATTCCCCTAATTTTCACATTCTATCATACATATCTGAACTTTTTCTTTGGATCTGAAACACCAAAACGACAAAAGAATCACAAAAAGTCCCTCAACTAACACAAATTTAAAATCATGTTACCAAACACCTCCATGCATTGCGTCAATTGCATCAAACAACACCTAGCAAAATTATTCATATCTTTTAACACCGAAAAACAAATTATTTAACAATTTACATACCGCAACTGACATAGCACCGAATAATCGATTCGTCCGGGGAATTTCAAAGATCACGAGCACAAATTCATGGATTAGGGTTTAGAATCTATTGGTCGGCAATTTGAAACCCTAATAGAATCTTTGAAATTGAAATTCCCAATTTTTTCCTTTTTTCTTTTTTCTTTTTTTTTCTTCTGTTTTTTAACCGCGTGAGAGCTAGGGTTTCTTTCTGGTTTCACCAGGTTAAACTGAAGGGTTTAAATTGAAAATTCCATAAATGAACTAATTGACTTGGAAAACCAAAATGCAGAAACTGTTTTGGCTCGACACGTGTTTTGTTATGGAGCGTCCGATTAACAATGTCTTACGTGGGTTGTTATCCTGTACGTCGAGGTGTACAGTAAGGAGTGCTGATTAAAACTTTTTAGCAATTGATAAGGATGTAACAGGCTATGATTGGATGAGCCTAAAAAGTCAACTGTAGTCAAAAGGAAAAATGGAAAGTGGAATTAACTTGTGTGCACTGTGTGTGACTTGAGATTTGACCCTTTTATAGAATAGAACTTCGAAAATGCCATTGTGCTTTTTTGAGTCTTTGGGCTCCATAGAAAGATTGATAAGATCACTCAAACAAAGTTTAGTTGAGTGACTAGATGCTTCTATTCAGACATCTAATTGATTGATTTCAATATAATTTTAGTTTAAATATTACTTTAATTTCAATATAAAATTATTTGTATTTGTCCCTCTGAAAATAACTTACAGATAAGTGTCTAAGTAATTTTTAAATATTTATCTTTTTCAATATTTTTAAAATAAGTCCATTGTTACTTCATGTTTATATATATTTTTTATTTTAACTTCTATATAATATTTTTCACTGGAATTTTAATATAAAATTATTTCTATTTTTATTTTTACATGAAAAAATTAATTATAGGATCTACATAAAATGTGTTTCATAAATAGACTGAAATTAAAAAATTATATAGAAAGGTAAAAAGAATTTGAATCAAAACACAAGTTAAAAAAAGTTATAACAATTTATAATAGACTATAAAAATATTTTTAAATTTTAAATAATATAATTATAGTTTAACATGATTATAGAAATTATTATGAGAAAATAGTATTTAGATAAAAATCATTTTATTTTTATTGATTATAAAAAAAGTAATAAATATGTGAATTAATTGTCAAATGTTAAAATTATTTTTTATTCTCTATTACATTTGACAGCATAATAATAATTTTTTTTATTTTTTTATAATATTTGCACATGAATTGCACTATTTATAATTAACTTTGCTCATACTCTTAAATACAATTTATAAATTATTTATTTTATGAAAAAAACTTAAAAATATTATATTAAATGTTGCTCTTTAATTAAGTTAAATAATTAATAAAAATATATAAATAATTAAAATAAAATCTCAAAAAGTTAGAAAAAAATAAATTTTTACCTCCAAAAGTAAAAAATAGAAACATTGATATTGACAATAAAAATTATATGAAAAAGTGTTCAAATAAATAAATTTTAAAATAGTCCATTGTTATTTTATATTTGTATTTTTTTTATTTTTAATTTGTATATATAATATAATTTGACTGTAATTTTTATATGTAACGTAATTTTTTTAATTTTTATATAAAAATTAATTATAGAATAAAAATGGGAAAAGATGTATGTAGAAGTAAATAAAACTTGCAATTAAACACAAGTGAAAAAATATTATAGTAATTTATAGTAAACTATAAAAAATAATTTTAAATGATATAATTGTTACTTAGATATAATAATGAAAAAATAATGTTTAAAATTTAGGTAAAAAATATTTTATTTTTATTTACTGTAAAAAATTATAATAAGAGAATATAAATTGATTTTCAAATATATTTTTTATCATGTTTGAGAGCATAAAAATAAATTTTTGTTAGTTTTGTTCTTTGATATTATTTGCATGTAAATTGCATCATTTATAATTAAATTTTCTCATATTCCTAAATAAAATTATGGTAAATTATTTATTTTATGAATAAAATATAAAAATAGTCCTTTAAGTGTTTAACTAAGTTAGTTAAATGGCTAATGAAAAATGCAAAAATAAGTAAAATAAAATCTAAAAAAAACATTAAAAATTAATTTTTTATTTTAAAAACAAAAAATAGAAATCTAAATACTAACAATAACAAATTATATAAAAAAATGTATAATTTTTTTTCAAATAGTCCATTGTTACATAAATACTAACAATTTAAAATCAAACATAAGTTAAAAAATGTTATTGTAATTTAGACAATAAATTATGATTTTAAATTTTTAAATCATATAATTGTAGTTTAATGTGATTATAGACATTACTACAAGAAGATAGTGTTTGAAATTTAAGAAAAAATATTTTACTTTATAATAAGAGATTAAGAATTAATTTTCAAATGTTACATTTTTTTCTTTATCATATTTGAGAGCATCATAATATTTTTTTCCTTCATATTATTTGTACCTGAATTGCATTTTATATAATTTAATTTAATTCTTTTCATACTCCTAAATACAATTATGATAAATTACATATTCTATGTACAAAATTTAAAAATAGTCCCTTTTAAGTGTTGCTTTTTAACTAAGTTAAATGACTAACGAAATAAAAATAAACAAAATAAAATCTAAAAAAAACACTTAAATAACAATTAACTTTTTCAACTTTAGAAACTAAAAACAGAAATACAAATACTAACATTAACAAATTATGCAAAAATTTGCAACCATATAGTAATGGAATTAACCAATTGTAACAATTTCAAAATTAAACTAGTAATAAAATTTCAAATTTAAATTAGTAACATGATTTAGAAATTGGACTATTCAAAACACAATGAAAAACAAAATATCCTAAGCTCCAAAATTAACATATATTACTCTATCTAAAACTAACAAAAATATAAGTGAAGGTTAAATACTAATATCTCTAGTGACAACACCAATTGAATCAAAGCTTATTTAGGTTAAAATAACTTTACAAAAATAATGCAGTACAAGGTGACTTAATCTATGTTGTGTTTTTAAATTAAATATAATACACATTAAATTTAAATTAATAATTAAAGAGGGGGTTAAAGATTGATTATTATTAATTAAGAATGCAGAACAAAATAAATGAATTAACAAAAATAACTAATAGATTGATTCTTTATTCAATTCAATAACAAAATTATTATATGTTACTAATAATATTATTATTAATTTTATTATATTTTTGCTTTTATTGTGAATAATATATAATATTCATTGAATTCAAGTTAGTCAACCAAATGTTTCATAATCCTAATTTAATTATCATTAATCGAATTTCATTAAAATTTATGTAAGTAGTTAAATCAAAGTGAATGTGATATGTAAAATTAAGCATTGTTGTGATTAGAAATTCTTGTTAATTATGTGTTAAGGGCAGTAATGAAATTTAAATATCATAAAGCATGCATATTAAAAAAATATACAAAACCTAAAAATAAAATTGAGAATAAGAAATAAAACAGTTTTAAATTTGACTAAAAATAAAACTTTTAATTTCAATTATTGGAATTGAATGAGAATCAACTCTCAAGTGTTTAATTTTTCATATCCAAAACCACAAACACAGAAAAATAAAACACAAAATGAAAATACAAACAAAAGCATGAACTAATGATAAAAATCAAAATCCTAAATTTCCACACATCAATAAATTTTGAAGGTAATATAAAAAGGTAAATCAAGCATCCTAAAGGAGAGGGAAACTAAGTTATGTATAATAACCATGATAAGATTTAATAAATTAATCCCAAAACGTAATCTAAAATTTTTGCATATATAATTGTAGTGGTTCAACTTATGTAAGTAATATTTCTCATTTACAAAGCTAGTTTTCTATGAAATTACTCATCAAATTAAATCTCCAAAAATATTTTTCTTAATGAAACAAAAATCACTTACAAACTTAACTTGTAACTTGAGATATTATCAAAATAATAAACTAAATATAAGTCAGATATAATAAAATTTCAATATTAAAATATTTTTAAATGCCAGATCTAATTAAGATTTTCTCACTAAATATGAATAATTTAAAGTAATTAAACATTAATATAATATGATTAATTCATATCATAACTTAATAGGTGTGATCATGTTACAATAATCCTAAACTCTAATGCAATAAAATCAGAACACCTCAAAATGATGAAATTGACAACACTAGAGCATAACACCTTAAAATGATGAAGTTGTTAAAGTCCCATATTGACAATGACGACAAGTCACTCATGTCACCCACTTCCATTTGTGTTTTAACTGTATTCAAATTTATTAAAAATAAAGAAGAATCAAGCGAAAAAAAAATAAATTCAATATTTTATTATTGCTCAAAATTTTATTTCCAAAATAGTTCATATTATTAATTTTTATTTAATATGTTTAATTTTTTAATTTTTATATATTTTTTATTGTGACATAATGATTTATTGATTTTAAACAGTGTTATTATAATTTAATGTGATTATTAATATTATTATAAAAAGATAATATTTGAAATTTAAATAAAAATATTTTACTTTTATTTATTATAGACAATTATAGAAAGATAATATGAATTAATTTTAATTATTAAATACAATCAATTAAGATTGATGGCTTGTTTTATGAACAAAACATAAATATATTACTTTAAAAATTTTCTTTTAATTAAAATTAAAATTTATCTTAATAACTAATATAATATAGATATATATTTAAAATTTATACTAATTTCAAAAATAAACATGTAATTTTAATTGAAAAAAATACTAAAACTTTTTAAAGTTCTACATATAACTTATATTGTTAAATAATCTTTTAAATAATTTATCAATAATATAAAATATACAATACCAAAATATTTTTTACCTAACTTTTAAATATCATCTTTTCATACTAAATGTCATGAATTATAATAACATTTTTTTAATTTAATTTATTTTAAGTATTATTTTGGTCATACATAATAATTTTTTATATTTTAATTCTTGTACATTACAAATTTTTTATCATTATTTGTGTATATAACATATTCCTCTTATTTTTATTCTTATAATTTTGTGTGTGTAAATATCAGAAAGAAAATGTATCATACATA